CAAAGAAGTTGTTAAATGCGTCACAGCAGGCCGTCGTCGGGTTAAGTAGGGGATTTGGTGCAGGAGGGACCTGCGTCATCTCCCTCACCACCCTAAACAGCTCTGCTGGACGAGACTCTGCAGACGCAATACGTGCAGGCGCAATACATGGGGCTAACCTTGTGCCTGACCTAGAAACTGCAATTGGTACAAAACATGGCAGCCAGGCTAATTACAGGAACATCGAGGAGGGAGCATATAACACCCCAAGGGAGCATATAAGACCTGTGCGCAAATCCCTCCACTGGCTGCCAATTAGTTTCTGGGCACAGTACAAGGTGTTGGTTTTAACCTTTAAAGCCCTACATGGCTTGGGTCCATCTTATCTTAGGGACCACCACTCCCCATATGACCCCCCCCATGTGCCCTCCAGTCCTCTGGGAGGAATCTGCTACAGCCAATAAAAACCAGGCTGTCTCAGACCTCCCAGAGGGCCTTCTCTGCAACCACTCCCAGACTTTGGAATGGCCTGCCGAACGAAATCCGTCTCATTACTACTCTTGCTGCTTTTAAAAAAGCAGTAAAGATGGATCTCTTCCGGCAGGCCTTCCCAGAACAAGTGCTGCTAGATGGGAGATGAGTCTTTCTTCTGTTTTATTATTGCTGACTCCTTGTTGCATTGTTTTATCATTTTATGGTATTGTTGCATTTAACTCTCTCTTGGTTTAATTTTGTTTTAAGGGGATGGGAGGGTTGGGGTGTGGGATGAGGGAATGTTTTAACTCTGACTGTTTTAAATGCTGTAACCCACCCCGATTGTTGTGCAGAGGGGCGGGCTATAAATAAAATTGATGATGATGATGATGATGGTGATGGTGATGATTAAAGATCAAAGAAATAGCCATCAAATCTATGATTCTATGGCTATTTCCTTGAATACAAACTATGACCTCTGTGAGACTGGAATGGATGAAGGTTCTTCTTTCAGTAGAACAATGTTCTTAAACACACAGCACAACTGTACTGTGGTTCAAACCAGAGTGGTTTCAAAACAAGAACCTGCATGTCTTTGTAGAAGTCCAAACCTCAATCCCACTGAGAATCTGTGGCAAGACATAAAGCTGCTCTTGACATATGCTCCCAATCCAGCTTGACTGAGCTGGAGAAATTTTGCTTGGAGAAATGAGTGGCTATCACATGATTCAACAGCATAAAGATTATAAGAGGTTTATCCAAGAAGACACAACTTTAATTGCTTTCAAAGGTGCTTCTATCAAATATTGACTTGGTATGTATGTGTGTGAATAAATATGCAACCAACAAGTGCCAGGCTGGTTTTGCTTACTTAACATCTATGCTACAATACACATATTTTACACTTTCACAGTGTCAAGTATGTTGTGTACATAAAGTGGGAATTGTGCCAATTAAATCATTTTCAGCTTCTGTCTGTACCAGAATAAAATGTGAAAAAGTCAAAGAGGAATGAACACTTCTGCAAGGCATTGCAACTAACCTGTGGCACTCGTTCCCACATGATGTAATTATAACTTCCTTGGATGCATATAAAATTATATAAATGCATGGAGGATGGGGCCATCAATGGCTACCTCTCAGGATGGCTATATCATCTCCAGAGCATATCACAAGAGGTGACTGAAATGCAACCTTGTAGTTGTTGTTGGTCTCCAACACCCAGCATCTCTCATATTAGCTATGGTGCCTGGATTAATGGGAATCCAACAACATATGGAAGGCTATACTTTCTAAGAGATACATTTTACTGTTATTCCCAACTAGAGTAGACCTATTGAATACACAGAAAGTACATTAGGGTAAAAAGACAAAGTTGGCATTCCATGCAGTCAAGCTGACCACATGAACACGAAGTCATCTTTGGACAATGCTGGCTCTTCAGCTTAGTAATGAAGATAAGCACAGCCCCCTACCGTCAGTTATGACTAGACATTCATGTCAAGGGAAAACCTTTACCTTTTTAAAAACCTTTTATATCTTAGCCAGTAGCTAGGACTACAAATTGGATTTAGATTTCCGTGTTTAGACATTTCTCAGAATTGAGAGTGCTGTATCTCACAAATCTAGTCAAGGAGCCATTTCGCTGATTGGGATATTTCTGGGTTCCATCTAAAACCATTAAGTATCAGGATGTATTGACTTTCAACAGCCTGGTAAAATCTAATACAGCAGGGGTCATACATCAGCAACTTCTAAAGCCTGCAGATAAAAATACTTAACATTTAACTTTTTGTGGAGGGAAAAATCAATGTAATCAGAATGAATATTTGTCTATGAATAATGTATATTCTCAGGGGCTCTCCAGTTGAATTAACTTATAAGAACACTCTTGGGCTCACAATGTAATGGAACTTTACAGGTTACTCACACAGCAGATCTTACAAGGCAGGGAAGAACCAGTTCATCTTGCAGCAGCAACAGCACAAATTAGTATGGAGATCAGGAAAGAATAAACTCAGACATGCTGTTAAATCGGGAAAGAATAAACTCAGACATGCTGTTAGGTCCCTTGGCATACACTGGGATTTGGTTCCAGGACCCCACCCACCCACCCACCCCACATGGATACAAAAATCTGTAGATGGTCAAGGCTCATTATAGACAATGGCACAGGATAATACTGTCCCTTAGATAAAATGGCAAAAATAAAGGTTTGCTTTTTGCTTATTTATTTATTTATTTATTTATTTATTTAAGATACTGCATTTCCAAGTCACGGATGGTTGAATCCATAAAGGGCCAGCTGTACACATTAAAAAATATTATGTGGAATACAGCTAGGGAATACAGGTAGGAGGCTACATAAGGCTTCATAACTGCCTCAAAACTCCCAAAATTAATCACAAGTGGAAAAAGTGTGTGGGGGGAATCTAACCCAGCCTTCTTCCTTGATGTGCTACTTTACTTTATACAATTTTTTTAAAGGGAGGAATCACTGAAACATGAAAACTTCAACCTGCATTCTGAACATGTGAAATCCTAGGAAGTTGTACTGTGCAATCATCTCAATACATGATTCTGTTCTTAGCCTTGAGAGCAGATGATTCAGGGGGGAAATGATGTGCAATACAACACAACACTACAACATTTATGAAGAAAGAGAAAATTTTAAATCATACTATACTAACAAAGAAAAAAACTTTCCATTTTAGGCAACATATGCTAAACTATTGTCTTGGTCATATGTTAAATAGAGCCTTCAACAAACCCACTCCCAAACATGCCAGGAGCAAGGAGGTCTTTATTTTGGGTAAGAGAATTGGTATATCATTACATACCTTCCAACTGTATTATCAGTGGCCAAAACTGCCTTTTCAGATGAAACGTACTCATTCTAAATTTGTACATACCTAATTTGTAAACCAAAAATTTTAAACAAGGTCAGCTATATATTCTGATGTACATGAGGTTGGTACTAAAAATTGTATCAATAGCTAATTATTTGGGGTATATGAAATTAATGCATAGCATACAACAGAAAGATTCTGGTGCAAGTTAGCATCCTTTGGTGGCGTCATTACATAAATATTTATTGTGCAAAAATCATTTTCTAAAGCAACCCAAGATCAATTAAAAAGTGCACTGCCAGATTCCAGCAAAAGTAGTAAAAGACCAGCATTCTAAATAAGAGGTACAATTACCCACTAATTTCTCACTGTTCTTGCTGGTGGTGATGGTGTTATTGTCAGCCATCAAGTTATTTCTCACCTATGGTGACCTATAAGGCAAATCTATCACTGAGTTTGCTTGGCAAGATTTGTTCATAGAGAGTTTACCTTTGCCTTCCTCTGAGGCTGAGAGTGTGTGACTTTCCCACATGTGGTCTTCCATGGCTGAGGGGGGATTCAAACCCTGGTCTCCAGAGTCTTAGTCTAACACTCAAACCACTACGCCACACTGGCTCTCACTGTTACCCCTTTAAAGTCTGGCTCATGTTTTGTCTTATTGGGCCTAACTAAAAATGATGTTATCTTTGTACCGATGCCTCAGTTTCTCTCTCTTTTTCTGTACTATGATTGACATGATACAAATGAAAGACATTCTACAAAGCTTCTGTTATGCCAAGAGTCTTAACAAAAAAAAGTTATGGAACAGCTTGATTGTTTAAGAAAATCCCAATAATCCTCTGTTCAGATTACCAAATAAGACCCTTCAACATTGTTGCTGGATATATTTTTCTCCCTCTTCTGTTTTTTTTCCTCTGTTCACCAGTGTCCTTTTCTGTATTAACTGTTCATTTCCCCAAAAAACACCAACTCATTGATCCCCACTACACGGCTCAAACCTTCAATATGTCTGCCATGTTCAAATGAGGTCAGGCTGCTGAAATGAGTGTATGTCTGGAATGATGCTTTACAACAGACAAAAATAGGCTGCCTTGGAACACCCTGTGCTTTCTGAGCTCAGGCAAAAATGAGGCAAAAAGTCTCTTGGCATTTTGAAGGCTGGGCTTTACATAGCTCAATTTAAATAAAGTGGCAGTGCAGGACAAGAAAGAGATTATAATGTTGAGCCAGCGTATTTCTAGTGAAAGGTAGGCATACATTCCAACTCTCCAGTCTATATGGAGGTAAATGAATTGCCAGGCAAAGAATATAACAACAATCTACACAGGGGTCCTTCAAATCTACATCAGATTTGCCACTTGATTTCACATTTCCAGAGTGAGGAAAGCTACTTTTAAAAAGTAGTTAGTTGCATATATATAGGCATATGTAAGTTCACAAAGCTTCTGACAGTGAAGACCCTTTTTACAAAAGCCTTGTATATCTGCCTGTCCTGGACTACAGTCAGCTTCAGTTCCCACAACTGCTGCTAAGAATGGTAAGGATGAGCAACAAACAGCAAAGCCAGCTACAAACCTTCCTGTAGTCAAAACACAAACAAAGCAGAGTCCAGAATGCAAAGTCAGTCAGTCTAAGGTCAGGGCAGGCAGCAATCAACAGAAGTCCAGTCTGAGGTCAAGGCAACAGGGTTCCACAAGGCAAGAACCACACCGACCATAGTCTCTCAAGGAAACTACAATAAGTCTTAGCACTGAGGAAACCTTTTGCAGATGTTTAAATAGCCAAATCCTACCTCAGTCCCAGCTGAGGCTTGTTGAGCAGCTGCTTTTCAGCCAGCCTCATGGAACTGCGAACGCCAGCACTCTCAACTCTCCTCTGCCTAAAGGAAGGTACTGGCCCTGCTGTATCTTCCTGATTCTCCCCACTAGGCAGCTGAGCCTCCATAGGAGTAGCACTAGGACCTGGCTGCTCTAGGGCTGGGAGAACAGGGCTTGGCTCAGGCAGAGCAGAATGAGAGCCAGGTGGAGCCTGTATCTCTTCCTTTTCTGGAGGAGACCCATCCTCCTCCTCCGAGTCCTCCTCATGGCTGGCCATGACACTGCCTAGACTTTGCCTTTTCCTCTTTGGCCTCCATCTAATTAGACATTTTTTAGTAGCATCAGTATTGTGAAGATGGTGAAGGAGGCCTGGACCTAACACAGACTTTCAGTGCTGTGAGGCAGCAGTATATCTGTAGTAACACAAGAAAGCTTGAGCTGGAAAAGAGTGGGATTCTACTCTATCTGATCCTACTGCAGCTGTGTGTGCCTATCTAACAGGGAACTCAAAGGGCAGCTACCTCCAGAATCCCTTACTAAGCATGTGAGAACAGCACAACTGAAATAAAAGGGGATAACATGTGGTTCACTACCTGCCCCAGCATGTGAAAAAGTATAGATTTGTAAGTTTCACCACCAAAATGGAAATCATAAGATGGAGGCTGGTGAAAGAAAAAAGGCACCCAGGATTCATTCTGGAAGAAGTGATGCAGCAACTAAAAAGGCCAATGTGATTCTAGGATGTATTAGATTAAGGGAACTAATAGTGAGACTCTATTCTGCTTTGGTCAGGCCTCACTTGGAATACTGTGTCCAGTTCTGGGCACCACAATTCAAAAAGGATGTGGAGAAACTGGAGCATGTCCAGAGGAGGGCAACTAAAATGGTGAAGGGTCTGGAAACCATGCCCTACATGAGAAACAACTTAGGGAACTGGGTATGTTTAGCCTGGAGAAGAGATGGTTAAGATATGATAGCCCTATTTAAGTATTTGAAGGAGTGTTATATTGGGGAGGGAGCAAGCTTGATTTCTGCTGCTCCAGAGAATAGGACACAGAGCAATGGATTCAAACTACAAGCGATTCCACCTCAACATTAGGAGGAACATCCTGACAGTAAGAGCGGTTCGACAGTGGCACACACTCCCTTGGAGTGTGGTGGAACCTCCTTCTTTGGAGGTTTTTAAGCTGAGGCTGGATGTTGGGGATGTTTTGATTGTGTGTTCCTGCATGGCAGGGGGGGGGTTGAACTGAATGGTTCTTGTGGTCTCTTCCAACTCAATGGTTTTATGATTCTAACTTCTAGTGGTCCCTAAAAGGTCCAAAATGTTTTTGTTTACTTATCCAAAGTTTACCTGATCTGGTTGTTTCAGTTCACATCTGCATACAGTCAGCATGGAATAAAACATTTACTGAAACATGTTGAACTCCTCCTCCAATTTGTGGTATAGGAATCTTTCCCTATTCTTTCAATTTTATTTCCACCCCAGTACCACATTTTCTGCTTTATAACACATCTATGTCATTAACTAAAGTCAGGCTGTAATTCAAAGACTCCAAGCAAATAATTTGTTGCTGTTGTAGCTTTAAAAAAGCTAATCTCCACTTTCTCATTCTGAAAGTTAACTAGGGGTGCATCAAAACTGTAGAAATAATTAAGTTTGACATCACGTTAACTGCCATGACTCCATCCTACAGAATCTTGGGATTTGTAGTTTTGTAAGGCAACAGCACTGCTTGGCAGAGAAGGCTAAAGACCTTGTAAAATCCCAGGATTCCATAGGATCATACAGATTCCATAGGATGGAGCTACAGCACTTAAAGTGTTGTCAAACTGCTTTATTTCTATAGTGGAGATGCACCCTCAAATAGTTGTTTGATTAGCATAATGTAATCTTAACTAATCTGTTCTACCACTCTCTGCTTCCCTCTTCCTTCTGGGTCACTGTCAAAAATAGTGTGAATTCAGTCCACTTTTAGGGTTAAGGTTAGGGAATCATGGGAACTGAATTTTATTGTGGCACTAGAGTTCTCTGACAAAGAAGGTTCAATGTCTCAGAAAAATAACAATTCCCATGATTCCCTAGCACTAACCCTAACCCTAAAAGTGGACTGAATTCGCACTATTTTTGACAGTCTGCAACCCCCCTGAGTTACTACAAGTGGTGACAGAAATAGCACTCAGCCAGTGCAGTGGCCATTTTATTTTAAAAAACATTTCTAACCCTCCCATATCAGTAGACTGAAAATGGGGTACAATATGAGATCTCACCTTAAAACAATCTAAAACAATGTAAATGATATAAAATAAATGAAAAATCAAGCAATTGAAAGCAATGAAAAGCAATTCATTTCAAACAAAATATAACCTACCACATGACAGACTAAACTCAAGCAATGATCTCACTAGGCCCCAAAGACTGGCCTAAATAGCCAGGTTTTAACTTGATGTTGAAATAAGGACAATGGTGGTGGCAGTTGCCTTGGAAGAGTATAATGCAACTGGATTGCTGCAGCCTAGGAAGCTTTCTCTTTGGGGTTATTCACATGATGAAAATAATCCAGGACTAATTTGAGATGAATCTTTGTTGTTCACATGCTTTCCAAATGCACTCACCCACTTACCCCGGGATAATTGATATTGGGCTTTTTTCCAAGGTTTTACAAAAGATTTGTATCATCAGCTGTGTAACAACAATATGAATAGACCCAAAGAGACTTGAGATAAAACTTTCCATGCCTTTAATGGGTTTCAAATGCATTCATATTATTGACAACCCACATGGTCGAGAAGGCGCTGCCCCTTCCCCAATGTTACAGCCACCACTGGAGAGAAGAGAGGAAAGAAAAGGAGGGGAGAAAAAGGGATATCAACCTCCCTCTGTCTGGCTGAGGGGTGTTGGTGGGTGCAGGAACAAGGGAAGGGTGCCTGCATGTGTGAGCAACCAAACTGAAAGAGATGCAAAGCGATGTGGTTCCTGGAAAGATGTGGTTCCATGGTATGAATAACAAACCCGGAATGTGTGAGTGAGGTTATTCGCATCATTCTGGTAAAAAATTAATAATGACGCCTTTGTTTTGCATGCACATTCAGTCACCCTGTATAATGCTCTCAAGGGCAAGACAGGAAGGAGCACCACTACCAGAAACAGCAGATCTTAATGGTTAGACAGGTATATATATTAAAGGAAGTGTTGCTCCTTCAAATATTTAGATCCTAAGCTTAAATACCCAGAAAACACTAGTTCCCATTTGATCTGGGAAGTTACACAGTGGAATGACAGGTGTCTGCCCCCAGTATCATCATCAGCAACTTGTACTGGAAATGGAAGGCTAGGAGCAACCAATGGGTATTCTCATCCCACTAACTCTCTCTTTTTAGCTGGTCTAGCCATACATCTGATTATAGCTGGGATACACCAACACAATGACACTACAGATTGGCTGCAAATCCATGTGTGTTACCTAGTGCTTCTGTATCTTTAGTTTACTGTTCCAGTTTTTAATGCATGTTGTTAGCTAATTTTCTTCTGTTGCCTTCTTGTACACCCTCCGAAATTATCCAATAGAAGGCAACTCCCTCCTCTTGCCGCTACAATTTTTCATCAGAGACGGTGGCTCCTCATTAAATCTGAGAAGTGACATAAAACAGATTGGATTAAACTAATTTAACATGAATGCACTAGAGAAATGGCCAGTTTGAGATTTCTTTTTCTTCACTTGAACTAGCTAATTGCAGGCTGGCTGAATACAAATAAAGAGATGAAGAATTGTGAAGAGGGGAAGCTGATTGGTTATT